GAGCTACATGTTAGACATATTTCTCTTAGACCCAAACTCTAAGTATCATTTCATTCAACATAACATTAACCTCTCCTCATATCATTTAAAATACATAACTTTTAGATGTACTTTAGGAGTTTTCTACCCGTCGAAATTCACCTTACCAAATTAGGTGAATCTCACAAAGTCTTAAGTATAACCCTTTGGCATGTTCACCTTATTCTTTTAGGTGAACATCCATCTCTTATCCAAACATTAAGAGAACTCTAATTTTTTTTTTTAAATAATCTATATTTCTTTTGATACAATGATCAATCATCTCACCCGAAAGGTGGGATGCTTGTATTATTTTATCTTAGGACTTTATAAGTAGATGGTTTGCCTCAAAGCAAGCAGTGGCTATTTTATGGGTTTTTTATAACCCTTCTAAATATGAAGCATCTAAAAGTCAAAAAAAATTCTGTAAGTCACAATCAACTTAAAGAAAAAATATTCTTGGATTAAGATTAAACACTTCTAATTCTTAATAAAACAAAACACCTATTATAGTGACATACTACACAACCTGCACACATTTAGGTGCACAACCCCTAAGCATGCTATAATTAGGATTTTTCTTTTTCTGCACATGTGTTTGATGTTGTGGTGTGATGATCATTGGATTGTCTATTCTAAGATATGATGGAGGCATTTAAAGAATATTAACAAAACTAATTTTGAGAGTAAGATATTAGATCTTAAGATTTGTTTGTACATGAGGAAGCTAATGTTATGTGGGAAAAAAATGATTAGTGATATTAAGAATGTTGCAAAAGATTTGCTTGAAGTATCAAAGGGAAAAGTTTCTAACAATAAAAATTGTTGGTGGTAGAATAAAAGTGTGCAAGAAAAGATACAAAATAAGAAGATTTATTATAAACATTGATTTAGATTTAAAATTCTGATAATTGTGAAAGATATAAAGAGGTCTGTAAGGAGTCTAAGAAAGCAATATGCAATGAAAACAATTTTAGGTTTTAATGATTTATATAATATATTAGATAATAAGAAGGGAAAAATATATATGTAAACAAAGAGATAAAGAGTAGTAAGATTTTAGTTCAAGTGAATCGTATTAAGGATGAATATAAAAAAATGCTTTTATTTGGAAGAGAATATTTAAAAAGGTGGAGGATATATTTTTCAAAATTTTTCAATGAATATTATGAGAATGCGATTGACAATAGTGATCTTAGCACCCTAAATGAAAATAAAGATTTATATTTTTATCAGCATATTCATAAAATCGAAGTTAGAGAAGATTTAAAAAAATGAAGTGTGGTAAAACTATTGGACCTGATGATATTCCAATTAAGCTGTGGAAATGCTTAGGAGATGAGTAAATTTCTTTGCTTACTAAATTTTTTATTATTATTTTGAAGACTAAAAAGGTACTAGATGAGTGGAGATTGAGTGTATTTATTCCTACTTTTAAGGATAAATGTGATGCACAAGATTATATGAATTATAGAAGAATTAAATTAATGTGTCATACTTTAAAACTATAGGAGAGAGTTATGGAGCTTAGGTTGCAGCATGATGCTAATGTTTCTCAAAATCAAATTGGATGGTTGAAGTGGAGGAGTGCTTCGGGCTTGCTGTGTGATAGAAAAGACACCCTCAAACTTAGGAGAAAATTTTATGAGATGTGGTTAGACCTATAATGCTTTATGGTGTAAAATGTTGGCAATTAAAAGAGAAGTATAATATTAAGTTAAATGTTGCTGAGAAGAGGATGCTCAGGTGCATTACTTTGAGAGAAAGGATATGAAATGAGCATATATGTAAAAAGCTTTGAGTAACTCGAGTGGAAGATACGATTAGAGAGAGTCGCCTTAGATGGTTGATCACATAAAATGGTAGTTTTTCGATGACCCAATTAGAAAAGTAGAATTAAATTTGACTTATATTAAGAAAGGTAGAGTTAGACCTAAAAAGACTTAGTTACAAAATATTAGAAATGACATTTCTTTATTAAATTTAAATAAGAATTTGTCTCTTAACAGGAGAAAATGGAGAGAAAAGGTTCATGTAGCTAACCCCACATAGTGAGATAAAGGCTTTTTGTTGTTGTTGTTGTTGAGACTGTATGCTTTACCCCCATCTTATTTGTTATAATGCCAACAAGAGATAGTTTACATCCCTATAGGAAATGTTTTGTAAATCTTGATATTTAGGGTTGAAAATTTTTCTGTAGTGTTGATTTTATTGCCTATTAAATCTTTTGATATCATTTTGGGAATGGATTGACTAGTTAAATATTTTGCCACAATTAAATGTTGGAAGAAAATGATAAAGTTTAGTTTGGTGAATGAGAAGGCGTTCTAATTTTTATGTGAGTAGAATGTGATATCCTCTCTTATTAGTACAATAAAGATAGTTAAATAACTGAGGGGTGAGATGTTATTCTTAGTTAAAATGGAAGTCTTATATAAAGATGTACAGGTATTACAGAATGTCTCAATTGTATCAAAAATTTTCAGATGTATTTCCTAAAAAATTATTTGGGTTAACACCTGAAAAGTAAGTTGAATTTGATATAGATTTAAATCCAGGAACATAACAATATACAAATCTCTTTATAGGATGGCTGGATTTAAAAGTTTAATTGCAAGAATTGCTAGACATGGCATTTATCAGGGCTAGTAATTCATCCTGGAGTGTACCTATACTTTTTGTTAAGAAGAAAATGGATCCATGCAAATGTATATTGACTATCGAGAGTTGAACAAAATGACTATCAAGAACAAATTTCTGCTACCTTGCATAGATGAATTGTTTGATCAGTTAGCATTGTTACAGTATTTTCTAAAATCTATTCACGAATAAAGAAATAGATATAAGTAAGATAGATTTTGGGATCATACTTGGTCATATTCGTTGTCATGCCTTTTGGGTTGATGAATGCTCATGCTATTTTCATTGATATGATGACAACAGAGCCAACTTTAACAAATTGAATTAAAGAAGCTCAAAAGATTGATGGTAAGTATCCAAAATTAATTAAGCATGCTCAGTCAGGGAAAATACTAGATCTTTTTGTTGATGTTGATGAAATTATTAAGTATAAGTCTCGATTTTGTAGACAATCTAAGTGATAGTTTTAAATGCATTAAAATCAAGTTGTAAATTCTAACAAAATTAATCTTCAAATTAACCTCAATTATTTTTTTTATCTTGAAATAACCTCTCATATAAATCTCAAGTTTCTCAACTTTTATTAAAGTCAATTTCATAAAAGAAATCATAAAAAACTAGATTTTACTTCAAGATCCCAACTTTTCCTTTCTTCTGCTGTTCTTTACCTGTTTCACTATTGCAGCGTTTGGCCATGGGAATGGTTAAAGAGAATTAATTGAAGTTTTTTATTTTTTTAATCTTTATATGATAGGATATTTTTCTACTAATAATTAATAGCCTTTGGTAAATCTAATTTACTTAACCATTAAAATTCTCACGCCCAATGTCTATATTAAGAGGAGCAATCAATGCCTTTGAGGCGTCACGCACCAAACAGCGACCGCTCTACTGGAGCATATGGCTGGTCGAGCTGAATTAGCCCATTGTAGGCCTGATTTCAATTTTGGATAGGCCTATTCTAGAATATTAGGATTCCCAAGACTATTTCTTAATATCTAAACTGAATTTTAGCACTTTTAGATTCTAATAAAACTTTTATGATAAAATTTAAACATATTTGAAGATTTTAGAGCATAATTTTTTAATATTTTTTATCCAATCGACATGCCAACTTCATAAGAACCTGATTTTTAACTAAGAAGATTTTACTTGGTTTATAGCAACGAGGGGAGTTTCATTTTGATGTTTATGGAGCACTCACGCCTTGTATTTTTTTTTTTTAATTATAATCTTTAATTAGAAACGTTTTTTAAAGTCTTATCATATATTTTCATACGATGAACGCTTTTACGTCCAAAACAAAGGTTAAATGATAAGTCTATGAAAAATTCAATTGATAAACAATATATGATGAAGGAAATTAATGTGGACTGTTCAATTGAGTGTTTTAAATTTTGACTAAATTAATCAAAATACTTCTCTCAAAAAGACCATAAAAGGGGCCTCATTTGTATAGGAGGTGAGGTTTGAAATCTCAGAGAGCTAAAGAATGGTACATCATTTTTTGACGATCACAATCAACGACCACAAACAATAATCACCACCATCATTGATAGACTTTCATCATCTGACTACTAGCTCTTGACTATTAATATCTAACCCTATTATGAGGTTTTCATTGTCTGCTTGTGGATACTCGATTTATATAATTCCTATTAGGAGAATCAAATAATTATTTTAAATTGTATATAACCTAATCTTCTTCAATTATGATAAAGATAGGATTCTTATAATTTCCATTGTATAGTTGATTATTTCAACTGGGTCAAGTCCTGTGATTTTTCTCATTCTTGAATTTTTCTTATAAATTTTATTTATTTCATAACTTTTATCTGTGCATACTTGATATGTGTCCAAAACTAATAATATTACACATACTCTACTTCTCTAAATTTTCTAGCACATAACATACATATTTAATTGTATTCCCTGCTAAATCACTTTTTATTTTTATCTTTGAAAAATGTTGGCTCTACTGGGCTAATTAATATATGCATGAGGGGGTGATTGAAAACTCATTTCAATATGTTATATAGTTTTGCATTTCATCCTTTCAAAGTACGCATCAAGTTTCTAGAAAATGCTTGGTAGGAGCTTCATCGAACTTTGCAAATACAGTGCTAATGATACCTTTTTACGTTAAAGATTGCTCTGATATGCAAGAGCAGTGATTGTTTATTTATTTTTAAATATGTTTTATCAATAACCACGTTGCAGTGTACATGTGATTGAAATTTCTTAAAAAAACTGTTTGGTTATTCTTTATTCGATGCTGACTTTAATTAGTTTAGTGCAAAGAAGTATGTTAAAAATTAAGTTGGATTTCTTTTGTGGCTCAGGATTGTGGGCAACCAGGATTTACTTTGTCTGAGAGGCGGCGCTTGAGCAACATATTGTCTCAGTGGGTGATTATAGTTGTGTCATCTTCTTTATTGCACCTTTTCTTCTCCAAATAACTTCAGTTTATAATGGGGATTTTGAACGTCTTATGTTCTTACCTCACCAGGATTTTTTTTTTTAATTAGAGGTTGTTTGAAAAGCGAAAAGCGAACTAGATTTTCCCTTATGTCGAGTTTGTATCAGCCAGATAAAATTAAATGACGCTAAAGCCACATTATGCTCCGTAAAACCAATTAACCCTGTTTTTGCGTTTTCCAAATATATATTACTGCTCTTTTCGGCAATTGTGAAGGCTTTTTTTATCTCTTTATGTCCATAGAATTCGATTGCCTGGGACCTACTGAAACCTTTCCAATGCGATAATGGGCCATTACATAGTTAAATAGATTTGCCGCCCCTAGAGGGAAAGACTACTTTCGGTGGGACTTATTGTGGGTATGGGGATTTGAACTCACAAGGATCATCGGTTATCATGTATAGCCAAAGTCCAATAGACATGAAACCGTTAGAAGGTGAAATGGAACTTTATCAATTCAAATCTGAGACTAGGCAAATGTTATATTTTTGAAGCTTGTTTATTTGCTTGGTTTTTGAACTTGAACTAGGCGTAAACCGGATTTGAGTTTCATTTTATTATGAAAATTTTATTATTTGTTTTATTATTAAGCTCATGATAAAGATGAGATTTTGATGATGCCAAAATAACTATGTGAGATTGATGCAAGCCCCAAATTTTTGCTAACAAAAGTAACTCTTCCTAGATAATAGAAGATACACAAAATACTACAAAAAGATACAAAATACTAAAAGACACATTTTATATCATATAAAGACACTTACAACTCTTTAACATAAACACCTTACAAATTTGGATACAAACTCCTTATAAACTTGGACACAACAAACCTAAAGGAGCTTGTCAATCGTTGAAAAGAAGGATACAAGTGAGGTGTATACTTGCGGGAAGAAGAATTAGATTAGAAGCCAAGATGAAGGATAGGAGTAACTCACAAGTTATCCCAAGATAGAGAAGAAGAAGAAGTGGACAAAGCTCTCAAGCTTTTTCAAAAAAACCTCTCAGGTTTTTATCCAAAAATTATCATCATAAGACTTCTTTTTACATCCCATAACACCTCCTATTTATAGAAGAAAAGGGCAGCGAAACAGCCACCTAAAACTATTAAATATAGAAGGCCAATTGTCATCAAATGGAAGGCCAAAAGACACTACTAATAGCCCCCAAAAACTGCACAGAAATAAGCAAAACATCACTTAAAATCTGCATAGGAAATAGGGCAAAACAGCTGCAGGAAAACTACACAGAAATCAGAGAGGCAGCCACCGAAATCTCCACCCAACAACCACCAAACAGCAGCCCTCATTCGGTACAGGAAACAGAGAAAAGAAGCCACGGGAACCAAGCAGCCAACCACGGGAACCAAAGGGCCAAGGCACAGGAACCAGCCAGCATAGGAAACAAAGGGCCAATGCACAGGAAAACCAGCCAGCCCTGGAAACAAAGGGGCAATGCACAGGAAAACCGGCCAGCACCGAAAACAAAGGGCCAAGGCACGGAAAACAGCCACCAAAAACCGAAGAGACAAAGGGGAAGGGGAAGAGCAAGGATCTTGATGTAGACAAAGGGGGGGTCAATACAAGTTGAGTTTTACTTTTAATTTCTTGCCTTGTGTCTTTTCATTTTCCCCCTCTCCTTACTCTTCATTATCTTGTCCTTTCATCTCCACCTTATCCTTTGGGATGTTTTCTAGTTCTATGGGAGCCTTGGCTGATTTCGATTTTGAGCTTTAGTTGTTGAAATTTTAGTGGTGCAAGCTCATTATTATCATGTGGAAGTGTAGCTCATTATGAGCTGATGTTTAGCTCTAAATTCATTATGAGGTGCAAGCTATTAGGTGAGTGGAACTTGTCTCTTCCTCTTCTTCTTTGCCTTTTGAGCTGCTGCATTATTTTCCCTCATTTGGCTGCTGAAACCGTGGCCTTCAATGTGCTTTAATGGTGGCTGTTGGTTTCTTGTGCTTGGCTGTTGGAACCGAAATTCCCTCCTTGGATTTGCTGTGCCGTTTGGGGTTTCTCTGTGCTGGAACCGTGGCCACCTCTTGGAGTTTTGAGGTGCCGTTTGGAATTTCTATACCTGTGCTGGAACCGTGACCTTTTTCCTTGAGACTTGCTATGTTGTTTGGAATTTCTGTGCAGGAAATTGATGGCTTTTTATCACTCCATTTATGGGAAATCTTGGGCTGTTTGGTTCCCCTCTCTTGCCTATATATATATGAGATGTTTTGTGATGAATAAAAAGAGAATGATGTGATAATGTTATTTTTGGAGATAGAACCTGCGGGTTTGTTGTTTGGAAAAGCTTGCGAGCTTTGTCCATTCCCTCTTCCACCTCCTTCGGAAATCCTGCGGGCTCTTTCCAACCTTCGTCTTGACTTCTAATCTCTTTCTTCTATCCGCAAGTGCCACTCCATCAGTATCCTTCTTCTCTATGTGAAGCAACTATAGGGTGTCTTGTTTGAGTCATTTTGTTTGTGTCAAAGTTTGTAAGCGTCCAAATTGTAAGTGTCGTTTGTAAGAGTTTTTGTTTGTAAGTCCTTTTATTATATTAAAGTTGTGTTTTGTTTTGTTTAATTTGTCTAATTATTATAAGTTTTGTAATAATTCTATTTCCTAGTAAGGTTTCTTTTTTGTGATAAAAAATTTGGGTCCCTCTCCCAAATTTTTGATTGCATCAGATCACCTCATTATAAGCTACCAACTTAGCTCATAAATGAACTAAACTTCAGCTCATAATAAGCTATCCATCAGCTCAAGCATTAATGAGCTAAAATTAAGTAAGATTCAGAATTTTTTTAGCTCCATACCAAGCAACCAAGGCCCAAACTGAGAGATAACAAGCAGCCCAAAAAAGCAAAATATCCATTTTGTTTTGACCCCCCTTTGCATGCTTCAGATACTCCCCTACTTGAAAAACTCATTTCCTGATTAGTTGTCTTTTGATTTGATCCGAGGAGACGGTGGAAGTGCATCTAACTCTTGAATCTTTGCCACATACTTCTTCAGAATTTCTTCTCGTTCTTGCATAAACTGAGCTTGTAACAGTTGCTTCTTTTTCATATACTTCTCCTTACACATATGCATCTTCAATTGAAGTTTGTATAATTCATTCTGAAGTGGATTTGTTGAACTCCCTTCTTACGACATCCATCTGTCCATTGGACTTTGAATTTCAGAATCTTCTGGGTTGCATTCTTCCACTGGATCACTATTTTTATCTTTTTCCATTTTTCTAAAAAAGACTCAACAAAACTTTAATAACTTGATAACAAGACTCACACATAACTATCATGAGACCAAGACACAACTTGCTCTGATAGCAATTTTGATGCAAGCAAAAATTTGGGAGAGGGCCCCAAATTTTTGCTAATAAAAGTGACTCTTCCTAGATAATAGAAGATACACAAAATACTACAAAAAGATACAAAATATTAAAAGACACCTTTTAAATCATATAAAGACACTTACAACTCTTTAACGCAAACACCTTACAAATTTGGACACAAACACCTTACAAACTTGGACACAACAAACCTAAAGGAGCTTGCCAATCGTTGAGAAGAAGGATACAAGTGAGATGGATACTTGTGGGAAGAAGAATTAGATTAGAAGCCAAGATGAAGGATAGGAATAACTCACAAGTTATCCCAAGATAGAGAAGAAGAAATAGTGGACAAAGCTCTCAAGCCTTTCCAAAAAAACCTCTCAGGTTTTTATCCGAAAATTATCATCATAAGCCTTCTTTTTACATCCCATAACACCTCCTATTTATAGAAGAAAAGGGCAGCCAAACAATCACCTAAAACTATTAAATATAGAAGGCCAAAAGTCACAAAATGGAAGGCCAAAAGACACTACTAACAGCCCCCAAAAACTGCACAGAAATCAGCAAAACAACACTTAAAATCTGCATAGGAAATAGGGCAAAACAGCTGCAGGAAAACTAGACAGAAATCAGAGAGACAGCCACCGAAATCCCCACCCAACAACCACCAAACAGCAGCCCTCATTCGGTACAGGAAACAGAGAAAAGAAGCCATAGGAATCAAGCAGCCAACCACGGGAATCAAGCAGCCAGCCATGGGAACCAAGCAGCCAACCACGGGAACCAAAGGGCCAAGGCACGAGAACTAGCCAGCACAGGAAACAAAGGGCCAATGCACAGGAAAACCAGCCAGCACAAACCGAAGAGACAAAGGGGAAGGGGAAGAGCAAGGATCACCTCATTATAAGCTACCAACTTAGCTCATAAATGAACTAAACTTCAGCTCATAATGAGCTATCCATCAGCTCAAGCATTACTGAGCTAAAATTAAGTAAGATTCAGAATTTTTTTAGCTCCATATCAAGCAACCAAGGCCCAAACTGCGAGATAACAAGCAGCCCAAAAAAGCAAAATATCCATTTTGTTTTGACCACCCTTTGTATGCATCAGATAAGAAGAGTCTTATTTTGCTTGCAAAAATTAGGGGGTTGTCCTAATTTTTGCATGCATCAATTTGGTATCAAAGCCTAGGTTAGGATTTTCCTAGGTTGTTTGTGTCTTCCTTTCTTTTAAAATAAAAAAACCAAAAAAGAAAGTCAAATCCATTAGCAAGCCGAAGTTCTGATTCATGTGGAAGATCTATCATCCAAATTGGCTCATTTAGCTTATAAGGGAATGTACTGAATTTGATCTCATCAGGAGATGAAAATTTTCAACTGGAGGAGAATTGATGTAGGCAAAAGGGGGGGTCAAAATATTTTGAATTATAAATTTGGAGGGCTTCTTGGTCCTCTACTAGAATCAGCTCATTAATGTCTAGTAGAGAGCCTTTTTAGCTCATAAATTGAGGTTCATTCCCCCCATTTTCTGCCCCTTTGGTTTCCCCACTTAATTCCCCTTCCCCTTCCCTTGGTCTCTTCGGTTTTCCCTCCTAGTTCGGCTCCCCTAGCTGCTGGTTTCGGTCTCTGTGCTGCCCCTTCAGTTTCCTCCCTGGTTGCTGTTTCCCGTGGCTGTTCCCTGCTCCTCGCGGCTGTTTTACCCGGTTGCGGGTGCTTCCTTTGCGAGTGCTGTTATGGAATAATTGCTGGCTGTTTGGGAGCTGTTTTTGGACTGTTTTTGGACTGTTTCTAGACTGATTGCTGGTTGACTGCTTTGAGTGGCTGAAGTTGTCCTTTGGGCTCTCTTTTGGTGGCTGTTTGGTTCCCCTTTCTTTACCTATATATAGGAGATGTTTGTGGCTGTTTTAGAAGAGTTATGATGTGATTTTTGGAGCTTAAACCTGTGGGTTTCGTCGTGGAAAAGCTTGAGAGCTTATTCCACTTCTTCCTCTTCTTCTAGGAAAGCTTGCGAGCTTCTCCTCCATTTCGTCTCGGCTTCTAATCTCCTTCTTCTATCTGCAAGTTCGACTCCACTTGTATCCTTCTTCTCAATCCAAGAAAGCAAGTTTAGGTGTATGTTTATGTTTGTATTTTTTTTTTGTCGTCAAAAGTTGTGTCCTTTTTAAATGTTATAAAGTTGTTTTTGTTATTTTAAGAGTGTCTTTGTATTCTTTTTATTGTCCTAGGAAGAGTCTTATTTTGCTTGCAAAAATTAGGGGGTTGTCCTAATTTTTGCATGCATCAGAGATGCTAATAATTTAAACTTCTAATTTTGTTTTTGAGTATAACCCTCATAATTTTTATAAATTGATATAATTTTCTTCATACGTTTTGATATTTTTGAATTCCAAATATCATCAAAATCTTAAAATTTAAATTATTTGAAATTCTCAAATAATTTGGGCAACATAAACTTTTACTATTAATATAAGTTTTATTCTGATAAGTCTCTTATATGTTTATATCTATATTTATCTTCATCTTTCTCTCTTTAGATCTATTCCTTCTTGTCCTAGGAGGATAATAACTATTTTCTTAATTTTAATTTTTCTTCTTCTTTATATCTTGTTTAATATGCAAAGTTGAATCGGATCATGACAACAACAACAACGACGACAACAACATCAAGCCTTTTTTCCACTACGTGGGGTCAGCTACATGAATCCTTTTCCTCCATTGAAGGTCAAATTCTCGTTTAAATCGGATCGTGAGCTTGAAAAAAAATTTCTGATTGAGTTTCATGAAAATTTCAAAATAATTGAATCATTCATCAAACATATGATCAATTATGAATGACCAAATTGTAAATAAAAGTCTACTTGCTGTTAATCAAGGCATTTCACCAATCAAAATAATAAATGCACTTCAAATATCATATAAAAATGCATCAATTTACTTTCAATCGGGATGAAAGACTCTAGACTTTGAAAAAACAATTGTCATGTCATTGAATTGGAACCATCTATTCTAATAAATTTGATAAATCCGATGGATGATCAAATTATATGAAGAATTCTTAAAAATTATATATGGCACTTGTTTTAATTTTGTTGTAGTGAATCAATAATTTTGATCGTATAATTGAAGATCATAATATTGAATTGAAGAAGAATGATCATTATTATGCTAGGAGATAATAATTCCATACATTTGACAAAATAAATTTGATGCGTGCACCTGAATGTATTTTTAGATAAGCTTCTTAGCAAGCATTAAATCAGCATTTCACCAACCTAGTCATTAAGCAATAATCATATTTTACTCGTGGGCCATAAGAAATTCATGATTCATCAATTATGTACTAAATTTCTTTTATTATATTCCAACCATATTCCATTATGTTGGTAACGAACATAAATCAGCATTAATTTGGTGAGTATTGAACTATTTATGGGAAACATATCAAATTTATTTTTTGACTCTTTTTGAAGAACCAAAATGATTCCTAACTATAAGAAAGGACTATTTTGACCCCTTAAGTCTTAAAAAAATAATAAAAAAAACTCTTATGGTGGGATTATTTAAGGAGTTGAGGGATCAAAATAGTCATTTAATATAGTTGGGGACTATTTTGTTCTTTTATAAAGAGTCAGGACCATTTTGATCATTTTCTTAATTATTTATTGACTTGACTTGTTGGCTTTCACCTTTGCATTCATATAGAACTACTTACACTCCTTGCTATGTATATTGGTGTGGCCTTACAAGATACCTCTTATCTGTACGACTGTACCTGTTGTTTTGAGTGGAAAATGCTGCTTCTGATAAATGCAATTTAACTTATTGTCCAGTATTGTAAAAAATGCAACTATTCATACTTGAGTAGATATGGCTTGCTTTTGTTTTCTATTTGGCATCTTAAACTGTAAATTATCCTCACTAGTTAGTTTTCAGGTGTTGTGAAGTTTTATAGCTTTCAGTGTTGTGATCCTGAAATGTTACTGAACATGTTTTTAACATCATTTTTGCATGCATACTCTTCATATAATTCATGCTCAAACTTTCATTATTGCGGGCGATTTCTTATATATTAAATTATCAATTTGTATCTTACTGCTTCCTTCATGTTTATCAGAGGAAAACTGATAGATGCGTATAGATTTATTCACAAGGAACAAGACATGGAAAGAGGATTTTCTTGGTCTGGCAACCCTGTTGGCAAGTAAGAATATATATATATATATATATATATAAGTTTTAGATGTGTTATTTTCTTTCAGGAAGAATTTGAGAATGATTCTACTCTAGTTTTCTTCCATTGTCTTTCCAGTTAATAAATGTAGCTTTGCATAGTTGAGAAATTGTTGTTGTTGTTGTTGTTGTTGTTTGTAGTGATGGAACATGGAATAGAAAAATATATGCCAATATCAGAAATTCAATTTTATTTTATGTTAGGAAGTGCTATTATGAGCATGATATTTTATCCTGTGGCAATTAATGGAAATGCTTTAGCAATGAAATATCTTCATATGATTTTATTTGTCATAAGAAGATATATGCTTGTCATTATAATAAATTTGATGCTCATTAACAGGAAAATTTTTGTATAAAATATGATGAAGATCAAAAATTTTTTTTTTATTGAAATTCAAAATAAAAAAGGTCCATACCTGCTACTCTCTCCCATGCCCATCCCCTATTCTCTGCCCAAATCCCTGTCAAAAGCATGCCGAAATCCGTTCACAAGTCTGCTATTCGGCGCGGTCTAAACGAGCAACAATTACCCATCCCACTTGAGTCGCGCCTACATCGTATCGTTAAATACCAAGCGAACGAAGCCTTGGGCCTACGACTTTAGACTCTCCATCTCCCTCCTCTTCATCTACTTCAGCCGAATCCACTTCTTGTGTCGCACCTACCTTCCAACCTCAGGAGCCGAACCAGAAGCAAGCCCCGACATCCAGTCCTTCCTCCATGCCAAATCCGACTAAAGCCCCATCGCACGATCTTCTCCCTATCGTCGCATACACCCAGGCCCAACTCCAATCTCCCGAATACCTCATAGCCGTCGCTTGGATCTCACGAACCTGAGCCCTTGCACTGTCTCCTTTGTTTAAGCTCTATGACCTACCCGACACCCTTCCTCTCGACTACTTTGATCCATAGAGAGAGAGAGAGAGAGAGAGAGAGAGAGAGAGAGAGACTACCTCTCTCGCAAGCTCTAGCCAAACTTCCACTTGACCTGCTTTGACTTATATATATATATATATATAAAATAGAAAAAAAAGAGAAAAGAGTAAAAAAGAGATATTTTGTATTTTTGTGCACTTCCAACACCACCTCGTTGGAATGCAAAGGTATAGCCCCTCGATCCCTAAAACTCCGAGAGCTCGATTTCGACGTCTGCAGCGCGACAAAACGATCAGCTATACACGCTTTTCTTAGCATGGTAGAAGGAAGTTCGTCGTGTTCTCGACGAATCGGGTAATCAGCTAAAGTCCTCTCTTTCAGCGTTCACGGCGCACTAGAAAACTGCCCATACACGCTTTTCATAGCATGGTGGGATGAGAATCGTTGCGACGCCTACGGTAAGGCGGGGATATTCATAAGTACCCGTTCACGGGGAAATAACTGCCTTTTCAAGCATGTACCTGTAGAAGACCTATACACATTTTTCTTAGCGTGGTGGGGGACGAAGACAATACGGCCGCAGTTCTGAGGACACCTAACATACACGATTTTTTTAGCGTGGTGGGAATACCTAGTTTCCTGTAGTTTACCCTAAACGAGGAAGACGCCAGGAGGATGTCGAAATTTTTGGTGAACATGAGACCGTACATGGACTTGATTGAACTTAAAGGACAACAAGATTTGTGAAGTTGAACTCAAATAAACTACGCGAAGAACTTGAACTTAAGCTTAAATTTGGACAAAACTTAAATGATTACCAAAGATTTTTGAACTTAAGTGAAATGAAATTGAAAGGAGAACTTGATTATTAAGTGAACCATGACTTTGAATTTGGATAAAATAAAAATGGGAGCAAATGATAAGGGAAATGATTTGAAGTGCAAGATGGTGCAATTGACATATATCAAACTTTGAATTAAAAAGGAATTGCACCATGACCGAAATATCTATTTTATACGTTCATATAAGGCCTTCAACTAAGAAAATTCATTAACAAAATCTTAAAACCTACAAACCCGATCATCTGTCCGTAGCTTAACAGATTCGACAAGATTAAATTCACAAATGAAAATGACTCCATACACCTCGATGATGGCCTGTTGAATGTTTATCTCAATTGTAAGGGTTCATTAATATTTCAATGACCACCCAAATATCCCCAAAATCCAAATATCCAAATTATTTTTTTTCAAATTCAGATCTTTAAAACTAAAATTCATCCGTCAAATAACTTAAAGCAAAATCCATCCACCCTCCGCAACAATTTGTCGGGGTGAACAAATTGAAATTTACTTCAATTCACATAGAGCTAATTCATAGTAAAAAAAATCATTATGATCCATTCTCAAATAATCTCTAACCAGTAAGGATGTTGTACGTGTTCTCTAATCGGCGATTTTGCCGCCAAATGGTACTACGGATAAACGATTATGACCTGGGTCCCTTTGAACTGAGTTGTTTTGCCACCAAATGACACCACTAGATACCATTTATGGCCAGAGCCAATACTTTTCTTAGTGGCATCAAATCCTTGAGATATTAATCAATAGGATATAATTGATAGGGCACAAAGCCCTCTGTTAGCTAAGGTGGATCCAAATTTATCTCCTTATGCAAATACCCACCCCAAGTCTACAAGGTCCCCTTAAATGAAGCAACCCATGACTTTCGACAAGGATCCTTCTGTCAGGTTGGGTCGACTACCTCCTTTGACTAAGTAGACAAGGGACCGCGGTGGCCCAAGACAATGGAACTATGAGATCATGATCTGGTCCATCATCCATTTTCCCACCATCCGCTTTAAGTGCAAGATGGTGCAATTCCTACTTTTAAATATCAATTCTCTAACCATTCCAAATGTTAATGCTGCTACTATATGCTAGTAACATGTATCTGATTGACGACTAGCCTTAATCGTTCTCTCTCGTGATTGGGAGGGGTAATTAACTATAGGGGCTTGCGCCTATAGGAAACCAGAACTCATATCATAAAGTCCTCGCAAAATGAGGGCGAAATCTTTGGGTATTGTCTTATCTACAAATCCATCTGTCTTCCCAAAATGTATCTTGGAACTTAATTCCGTTAAAACTCTCCCAAACAAAAGTTGGTGGAGGCCGGGGCCAAATTTTCAGAGCCCACAGAGTTCTAACTATGTAGGTTTGCATCAAATAGCAACAATAAGTTTGTATGTTTTTATGTTGGTTATAGAGAAGTTCATAACAGATATTTCAAGTTAGGTAACATGGTGAAAATGCTTTTCATTGATGATAAATTTTTAATTTGTCAGAGCTTTGAAATAAGTAAAAATTAGTGCATTGAACATAAGTAAAAATGTTTTCTATTTTGTTAGGACTTTATAATCTTGTTTCATATTTTTCATAAGCACATGCCCCTTTAGATAATTACCCCTCCCGATAACGAGAGAGGGCCTTCAATTAAGGCTAGTTGTTAAAGTCGCTATGTGCCCAAAGAAGATTTTTAGGATTTTGGAATTTATCATTGTACACCTAAAGTAGGTGGTGGGAGAATAATTATGAACCTGATCAAGATCTCATGGTTCCATCATTCAGCATCATCTTGGCCAACATAGTAAGAATGTGTAGTCGACTCAACTTGACAGAAGGATCCTTGTCAACAATCATGAGTTGCTTTGTGCAAGGGTATCTTTTAAATTTTGGGTGGATGGTTATTTAAGAGGATAAATTTAAGTCAATTATAGGTAACAGAGGGCTTTATACCTTATCACATTTACCTTACGATTCATTACTCAAAACATGTTTAGTTATTACAGAACGTACAAGCTCTGGTTGTACCATAATTTAGTAGTAACATTTTGTGGCAAAACCACTTGAGTTAGAGGACCCTGATTATAATCATTCATCTGTGGTGTCGTTTGACATCAAAATTATTGGTTAGAAGAGACGTACAACATCATTACTTACTAAAGATCATTTTATAATAAATCTTAGCGATATACTCGAAAAGATATTCATTCTTTGTGAGTTTAAGTTATCATCAAATTTATCATCATTGACGAACTATTGTGGAGGGAGGATGAATTTTATTTTGAATATTTAAAGTTTAGTAAAGATTAGAGTTTTTTTCTTAAATTTAAACCCTTAGCGTTTAGTTTTAGGACTCGGGAGCTTTTAAAAAAAGGTAAAGTTCCCTTCAATTGAAATTTTTTGAGAACACGACTATTATCTGGGTAACATCAATATTATTTTAAATATAATTATATTTTATAAGAGTTTGGAGGCATTTTTTTAAAAAATTGAGTTTCCTGTGGTTGATATTTATTTTTTCAATACAATCATTATTGGGGTAAATAGGCAATTTTATTTCATTGTTTAAATCTTGCCAACTCTATTTGCCTAGCAACAAAGAATTAGATTCAATTGTTGATTTGGTGAATTGTCATATGAATATTGACACTATGAGTTTATATTTTTATGGATTTTTCCTTAAGGAGGCTTTGGATGCCCAATACGGATTTAAAATTATACATCTCAATAGATTTTAGGATTGAATGTTTGTTTGTTAATCAAAGTTATGTCGACTCTTATCATTTTAATGAGGATTAGACTTTAAATTTGAGTTCATATTTAAGCCGCATAGCATTTTCGAACCTTGTATTTAAGAGTTTGGTGTAATGGTCGAAGCACATGGAAGTGCTTGATTTGAAAATGAAAATTTTAATTTAGCTCACTTGTAACCTTGTGCAGTATTTTTAGGCGTTTATGTTTGTGTTATTTGTATATTTGTTAGAGCACATGCAGGGACTTTAAACTTCTTTTTAAATGATATGCATGCATTTCAATAGTTTGCACGATGCACTTGCAAGCTTTTCAATTCACGTGTATAGTGCATTCGTAGATTTTAAATATGTTAGCACCCTTTTCAATGCACTGATGGTTCTATCATCTTAGGTTTGCCGAAATTCCTCTATAAAGGTGCTTCATTTGATCTCATTTCTCCTGAAGTCTTCTGAACTAATACAGGACAATATTTTACTATGTGTTCAAGTTGATG